TTTTTGTCTTTTGCTTGCCGTTTTTACAATTGACGATGTCAGTATTTTACTGTAGGMATGTAGTCGTATCTTGAGGTATGTTCTGGTTATTTGGTTTATTATACCTATTTTATTTTATTTTTAATATTATATAAAAATATTTGCTTGCAATTTTACCATTTTCAACCACTGAACAAATATTGACAAATACACATCCAATACAGAAACCAGAATAGATATCATTAGGTACTTCAACAAAAAATGTACATTAACAATTCACTAACTTTGCATAGCCAAAGTGACATACTGACATTGGAAATAAATTTATGTTATAAATAATAATGCTCATACAAAATATATCATATAGTTACCATTTATTTGTTAATTCTTGTTATAATTACATAAAATACATATGTTAGATTCTGAGAGGAGCAATGAATGAAAAACATAGCGATCAAACATTAATTTATTTTGTTTATAATTTATTAAGTAGTCAAAAACCAAAGTAGAAAAAGTAGAAAAACCAAAACGTTAACCGGACAACAGGTGGTCGTTAATCGTTGTTCCGGATTTAATAAAGTGATAATGATTGATAATAATTTCTGGCCTCAGATAAAATGGCGGAACTTTGATTCACGTCTTATCAATAGTTAGCAATCTAGTTTATTATATATATCTGTGTCACCCTGTATGAGATGGATACAATGTTGCCAATTGAATTACCAGTGTGTTTGCAATGTGCATAATCGACGGCAGTCTCCACCGATGGGGATTCCCAAGTTAACAGTTTGAAAAGGTACCACAGCCAAAATATGACATTGGAACTGGTACGGAGATAGGATACAACTTCACAGTATATCCAATAGATCACTCGGACGTAGGATAGTCGGACGCCACGTACTGCGGATTACTCGTGTCCACGAGTACACAAGTGGAGCAAAAGGCCGGAGTCGTACACGTGAAACCTGCGCACGAATACGCACACGCGTAGCATAAACGACTCGACGTAAACGGCCGGCACGGCGATATGTATAACAAAAAAAGGTCGACGGCAAGAAATACCAAAGATGGGCGCACACGGCCGGTATGGCGGCACCCCGGACGTAACGGCCGGATCGGCGGATACGAACAAAAAAAAACACAAACAAAAAGGCGTCACGAGAGAACAACGGACGCCGCTGCTCGTACGAGGTGGCTGTCCGAAGCTGTATCGTACAGACAGGAGGGGGGATGGCCGAGCCCGCCGAGTTATCAAGTCCAAAGTTCGACTACACGACAAGACGATAACTCGAGCGGTTCGTATATCTTGAACAGATTTTTTAAATTATTTTTTACGAAGGTGATCTAATTATAGATTACGAAGATTCAATCTAATTTTAATAACACTAGCAGGTACATTATTCACACCAATTTATTTTTTAATAAGTAGGTACCTAATATTTTGTATAGTTTGTACATTTTAGGTAAATATTCATATTTAATATGAGCATATTCAATATTAATGTTAGGACAATCCTAGTATGATATATTGACCCACTTATATCGTTTAACTCCAGGTATGTAACATATTGGTCTGTGTTACAAATTGCTTTTTTTTTTTTGTTATTAATTATAATGACAAATAACATTTTAAAAATAATTAATTTAGTGCACGAATTTTGTGTAAAATATAAAAAGACCAAAGGGTATCATTTAGTCCAATGCTCCCCWATGCCCACTTCAATATCTTCCACCAAAGGTCTATATGTATTTAATAATAATGAATCTCTTGAAAAACACATAATTACAATTTTTTATTTTTATTATCATTATTATAATAAGCAAAGAAATTATTTTTTAAACAATTTAAAATTGTCGTTTTAGGTATGTGGTACATTAAGAAAATTCACATAAATATTAAGTACAATTTAAAACGTACGTTTTGTAACTTGGTATTATTTCACAATATTCAAGTAGGCAGGAACTAGCAGCTATTATGTATGTTGAGCACCAAGCAACAAACCGTATTGTTTTGTTATACAATTTAAATGATCGAAACACTAACCGCATGCAACAGTGTAACTATAAGTAAGTCGATTTCTTCATCTGTTATTTTAATACTTATGAGAAGCCTGATGCTGGGAGTAGGAATCTTGTATTCACGATCACTCAAATACGCTGCCGTCGTTATTGCAACTCCATCTGATATACACTAAAATAAAATTTAAAATATTATAAATATTAAACTTTTAAACAGAAAAATGTTTTTATGGTTACCTACCATGGATTGGCTTAAATATTATTGGTTAATATTTTGAAATTTGTTAACAGAGGCAGACAAGTTACTTTTGGCACAGAATGCAAAATTAATTAGTGGCTCGTATATATAT